CACACCCCAGCGCCCAGCCCCAGACCCCGGGAACCCCCAGCACGCCGGCGGCCAGCCGCACACCCCACCGGGGGGCCAAGTAGACTTTGTGAGTTAAAACTGTCGACTGAAAAACTTTGCGTGGCTGCCCCACATTCTCACGGCAGGTGAAAAGTGTGCGTAAATATACGCAGACTTTCACGCAACGTTGGTTTTAATACATCACAACGTGGGCGTAGAACCTGGAGCACACAACGTTTTTATGCCTACGCACCGTTTATAGGTTGTTTCAGCTGTTTCCTGACCCGGAGCTAACCCTAACCTCCTGCCGGTCTCAGATTTATCTCAGGTCAGCGTCCCCCTCATGACGCCACCCGTCTCTCCGGCTGCGTCGGTTCACCGAGGCTCCGTCATCAACCAGGGCCCCATGGCCGGCAGGCCCCTGACATCCTGCTCCTTCTCCTCGTCCTCCTGCCTCTCCTCCCTCGGTGTGATGACCCAGCCCAGCCCCTGCCCCTCGTACCCGGAGACCCTGTACCAGTGCTTACCTCAGACCAGCACCAGTTATTACCCTGCAGTCAGCGTCTCCTCGGCTGCGACCTGTCAGGCTGCTCTCAGGTCAGATTCACTCTCAGCTGTTTGATGTTTTACATCACGGCCTAACGCGTCACGTGACTTTGATTCTGTTTTTTCAGATCTCAGGTCCAGAATCAGTGTCTGACTCCAGTTCAGTCTCAGACGTCCCCTCTGGGCTGCCACCTCCTCCGGTACCCGTCCATCAGTGACCAGCCTCTGAGTAAAGATGTCTTCTACGATCCTCACTCCTCGTCCATCCATCAATCCTCCAGCGGTTCTGACTGTTCCCTGACACCTTACGGACCCGCCTCCAGCTACGCTCCCAGCTCGGACCCAGAACCAGGACTGGACCAGCAGTCAGCAGCTCACCTTCTGGACTCTTCTGAGGGTTTCGGCTTCGCGGGGACCGGACTGAACCTCGTGGGTGGTGGTTGTCAGGGACAGACGTACTCCGTCACAGGACACAGTAAGAAAGGACCCATTCTGTCGACCTTTAAAAACACTCATCTGAGCTGAGATTAGTTTGTTTTAAACTCCTCAAACCTCAAATTTTACATTTTTGTTTGTGTTTCTTTAAAGGGATCCAGGATTAGTTAGATTAGACTTTATATGATGAACATTTATTTTAACTGTAAAATAAAGACTGTAAAAATACTGTAGGATGTTCAGTTTTGTAAATCTTTAAAAATATGTTTTAACACAGACGGGGCCATTTTATTTAGACACAAAGCATTCTGGGTAAATGATGACGTGGATAGGTCCTCGGTGCGAGGCTGCTAGCGAGCTATATCCACCCTGAAGGTTAATCT